TGTTTGTGCGTTCCATTGTACATTGTACTTCTGTTTGTGCGTTCCATTGTACATTGTACTTCTGTTTGTGCGTTCCATTGTACATTGTACTTCTGTTTGTGCGTTCCATCGTACATTGTACTTCTGTTTGTGTGTTCCATCGTACATTGTACTTCTGTTTGTGCGTAATTATGCTAAAAACAAGTCAAATAAAGTGGGTGGTTGGAAGGCGTAACAGGTAGTTATGAGCAGCTGGTAGTCGTCTGTAAAGTAATTGGTAGTCGTTAGTTTCATTTCTTTACTGCTCCTCTCTTCTCTCTGTCAATTTCCTCTTTTTTTCCCAACACTGAATTATGACCATTGTGTCAATGACAATGTGATCTTTTTACTGGGATAAATAAACCAGCTGAAATGATTGTGTAGTCACAGAGTTGGTCATGACTTTCTGGATGTTTCTGACTGCTGGTTCGTTAAGGTTAAGAAAAGGAGGGACAATCAAAGACTGGATTTAGAAGTTGAACTGACCCTGTGGGTGGTTTGCTGCTTCTGTCCTGTCGAACATCTATGATCCTTATCTCTTCTCCTTTTCTTTGGATGTTACTCTTTAGTGCTCTAATCTTGGGCGCTTGTTTGACCCATTTGTATTGCAAGCGCCGTAACACTCTTACAAAAACTAAACTTATACTGAACTGACTGAAATGTTACAAGTACTACTACCAGCTGCTCTAAACATGTTCTGTTCATTTGGGCAGTCAGTGTGACACTCAGTGACTGTACAGATCAAAGTGGAAAGCCGGCGGTTGGTTGGTGCTCTTGACCTCTTGTGTGGTTTGCTCCTTCTTTTTCATTACGTCAAACATCCATCGTCCTGATTTCCCCTCCATGTTTGTGTGTTCCATCGTACTCTCTTGTAACATCTCTTGTCTTTGGCACTTGTAATGACCTTATATTGCGCTACACAAGCGTCAAGCTCTCACTAAAACAAAGAAGAAAATAGAAACACTCTATAGATTGAGAGTCCCCGTATTATTGGGGAATCAAACTTACAAATTATTACAGTATATTATTTGCGCGGAATGCCTGAGAGCCTCCCCAGTACAAGTAGACGACAGACACCTGTCAGTGGAGAGAGATTACCTCGAGATGCTCTGATTATGTCAGGAGGGTGCAAAGACTAGTACTATTGCCTCAAAATGCGCGGCGGTTTCTTCTTTCCTATCAAACATCTGTTGTCCTGATCTTTCCTCCTTCTTTTTTGTGTTTGTTACTCTCTTGTAACACCCCCTAAACTTCGACGCATATGACCTTATTGTGTTGCAAGTGCCGTAAAACTTTTACTAAAACTAAACAGTGCTAGATCTACACGCCTTATACTCCTTTTCCTGATCAAATATCAAAATAGAGAGCTCAAATTCAAATGCAGCGATGAAAGTTCAAATATCAAATTAGTCAAATTAATTCAATATATAGAGAGTTCAAATTCACCACAATGGAAAACGTAAACAATTGTCAGCTCGAATCCAATCACAGGAGAACTCTAGATCTAGATTTAAATGTAAACATTAGGGAAATCTAATTCGTCATTGTCAGTTTAAAATTAAATGCAGCATGGGAAAATTCAAATTCAAAAACACGAAAAACTACGAAGCGATGATGTGACCATCGTCTCTCAGTCAGGGGAAGCTACCCTGTCTCTTAGCAACGCTCGTTGTTTACTGTTTTCATCTCGCTGTTTGTTGTTTAGATCTAGATCTAATCGTGATCTCGTTTTGTCCGATCCAGCACTTTGAAGTTGATTATACATCTCACCTGAAAGATGTAGCAACATATTAAGAATGCCTGACAACAAATACAAAGAGTTAGTCTAGAGTTTTAACAGAGAATGCTGGTATAATAAGAAAAGCTTTTCTGCGACATGACGATTACATAATGCTCATCGAAGTGCTGCAAACAGGAGGCCTACAGTACCCGAACGATTGAAACTGAAGATGTCGTTAACAAAATATGGGGTGGTGAAAAGATTTGGGAAAGTAACCACAGAATTGAACAATGAGCTGGTTTCGATAGTTGAAAGTCACCCAGGTTACACTTTCAACGAAAGAAACACAGGTCTTGATATGGCTCTGTCAGACACATCTCGTATCTGTCGGTCAAAGGGTGCGGCTAGTTAGGACACATTTTAATGCTTTATTGTGTGTTTGTTTGTTTGTTTGTGTGTGTTTGTTTGTTTGTGTGTGTGTGTGTGTGTGTGTGTGTGTGTGTGTGTG